TTTTCCATCTCTATAATGTTGTCATTGCTATGTTATTTTCCTTAAGTCAGTTTCAACTTATGGAGATCTCGTGTGTACAGTGTAGAATTGCCCTATAGGGATTTTGAGGCTGTCACCAAACTGATCACCAAGCCTGTCTTCCAAAGCACGTATGAATGGTTTGAACTGACAACCATTTGGCTAGTAGTTGAGTGCTTAACTGTTTGTGTCATCCAGGGGTTCCATCATTACTATAATGGTATTTACATGGACTCATAGTATGTGACTTGTTGAGATTGCTATTTGTCACTCAGTGGAATGCCCACGAGACCCACGTGCGTGGTTTTGTGCTCATTCTTTTTATTGCTGAGTAGGATTTCCATGCACACGACTTCTCATCTTTCTCCTTCACTGGAAGTAATTAATTCTTGTCTATTCAATGACTTTTTCTCTCCTTTGAAATCATCGATCCCAGCTTCTTTCCATGGTGTAATGCTACAGGTTAATGTGCTGGACTGTTGTGCCAGTTTGAACCTCAAGTTTGGCAGTTCAAGCTCACCACCTGCTCCTTGGAAACCCTATGCTGGATCGCTGTGGGTCTGACCCGACTCCCCATCACTTAACAACAACAACAACACCTCTGAGTAGCTCCACGTGGTCTCAGCCACTCCTTTATTTTCAGTCCTTGCCCAAAGTTGCTCTGGATTCTTACTCTATATAGAAATCCTTGGCATAGTGGTTACGGTGTGCAGCTGTTAGTCAAAAGGTGAATGGTTTGAACCTACCAGCTGCTCCGTGGGAGAAAGATGTGGCAGTCTGCTTCTGTAAAGACTTACAGCCTTGGAAATCTGAGGCAAAGCTAGGTTTGACCCAGTGAGTCTTAAGGTTATAGTTCTGCTATAGGAGAAGCCAGGTGAAGATCAATTGCAACAGTAGCTCCAGGCCTCACTTCTGTGACTCACCTGGAGGCAGCACCTGCGTTTGAACATACCTGAACCCATCTGACGGTACACACTGACCCTTTGCCTCTTTTCTTTTCTCTAGTGGGTAGCCCTCAACTAAAGTCCTTGAGAGAGGGTAATGTAAAAGAAAAACAAAAAAAGAAAGAAAAAAGAAGCAATTGTAATAGTTACAACTTGCCTTTTTGTAAAGGAAGATTGAGTGTATTAAAATTCCACTAACTTATTTTTCTCATGATCATTGATTAAAAATTGGTTAATTTTGCAATTAGCTTTCATTTTATATTTGTTTTGTTCAGCCATTAAAAGGGAGTTTAACTGGTTATTAAGGGAGTTTTCTAAGTTTATTGCTTGGGATCACATTCCGAAAGTGAAAGCGTAACAGGATTTAAAGCATTTTTAAGTCAACTGGGATCTTGTTATGATGTAGATTCTGATTCAGTGTATCTGGGATGGAAATGTAATCTTTCAGCAAGGGATCTGAACTTGAATGAATGGGTTCAAGGCCTTTTAAAAAATACTCAATTCCATTAACCTTGGTCTATGTATCTTGTCCTGGTGTGGAGCTGTAGTATAAGCACTGGATTATGGTTCAAATCCTTCATCTGCTCCTCGGGAACCCTATAAGGGTCATTATAAGTTAGAACCAACTCAACAGCACTTAACAACAACAAAGTCTAGATTAAAAAGCCATTGATAGCTCACACTATCAAAATAGCTGATCTGAATCCAGTCCCACTCTCAATGCAGTAAGAAAAGCCACTGCTGTCCAGTTAATTCTGACTTAGTGACCCTCTAGGGCAGAATAGAATTGCCCCTTCGGGTTTTCAAGGCTGTAAATCTTCACAGAAGCCAACTGCCACATCTTTCTCTCATGGAGCACTTGGTGGGTTCAAACCATTCACCTTTTAGCTAACAGCTGCACACCGTAACCACTATGCCAAGGGTTTCTATATATAGTAAGTTGTTGTTAAGTGCCGTCAAGTCGGTTCCGACCCATAGCGACCCTGAACAGGGTTTCCGACGATGTAAATCTTTACGGGAATAGAAAGCCTCATCTTTCTCCCGCGGAGCAGCTGGTAGTTTCGAACTGCTGACCTTAAGGTTCGCAGCCCGAGTCGTAACCATTACGCTACCAGAGCTCCAACATATATAGTAAGAGCAAAGCTAAATAACATTTCCCTAAGTGATTTTTCTAGCCAGCTGAAATATGAAATTCAAGAAATCCAGACAATGTTTTGTTTTTTTTCCCCTCCTAAAATCTCTGTATTCTTGGTCCATTTCTTCTAGATTTGCTAGTGTCTCGATTGATTTGATAGATTTCCTTGATCCAAATATTTTCTGGGATAGCTAAGTAAATGTAGCTGCTTTCTAATAATAATAACTATGATATATAATTAGCCTGTTGTTTTGTGTGATTAATTCTGGTGGTGCAATGGTCAAATACTTGGCTGCTAATTAAAATACAGGTGGTTTGAATCTACCCAGGGGCTCCACAGGAAACCTGGCCTTTGCTTTCTATAAAGATTGTTGCAGTTGTTGAATGTCATTAAGTTAGTTCCAACTCATAGCGACTCTGTATACGGTTTCTGAGGAGCAGCTGGTGAGCTTGAACTGCCAACCTTACAGTTCAAACTGACCTTGCAGTCCAGGGCATTAACCCGCAATGCCACACCAAGAAAACCCCATGGGACTGTTGTATTCAGTCACATGGGGTAGCTATGAATTGAAATTGACTCCATGGCACCCAACAAAACAACATTACTCATGCACTTCCTGAAAGAGGTAAATTGGAACTCTGCCTATAGCCCAGATCTTTAACAAACACTCTCACATACTTATCTCTCTGCATTGGTTTGCCCTAGGAACTCGTGGCTTATAGCTAGTGATTCTCAAAGCCCAGTTTATGTCTGTGCCACAGTTTATATCTGTACCACTGTGTGCTGATTCTTGGGGTAACATGGAAAGGAGTCTGACCCCTGCATTAGCGGTGAACGTTGCTGAGGACTGCTGTCATGGCAACAACCTGCACTGTTTGATTTTGAGGGTGCAGGGTGCATCTGTATTCCCTTGGAACAAGAGGTAGTCATGTGGGGAGAGGGAGTTGGTCAGTACTCTTTTTAAATCCTGTCTAAGAAGATCACTTGGGTAGACAGATGACACAAGGTTTCAGCAGGATGCAGCAGGGCTGACTAGAGTTTGGGTAGAGCAAAGATACAGGTAAGGAATGGATTGACCCATCTATAGTTCAAGAGTTTCACGTAAAGATGTCCTCAGTGATGGGCATCTTTAAAGAACCCATGTAAGTGTCTCACAGAAGATTCAGCTTTAATCATCTGTCAGGCTCATGGAGCACACAGCCAGTCAGCCGTGAAACATGGAAGAATGGTTCTCTCTCCTCCTTCCTCCACATCCTTTCCTTGTTTGTAACCTAGTAGGGTCTGGAATAGAAGCTTCATACTTACGGAGGAAGAGATAAGGAAAATCACCAATGCACTGACTCAAAGAGATCCTATCAGACAAGGTAAAACTGTTCCATAGGGCTTCTGCGGCTGTAAATATTTATGGAAGCTGACTGCCTCATCTTTCTCCTACGGAACAGCTGGTGGGTTTAAACTGCCAATCTGCACCACCAAGCTACCTAGTAAGGAGACAGCTGACCACGATATGACCATACTATTTTCTCCAACGTTGACTAGCTGCTAGCTATGCACTGTGGCCAAAGGTAGGGGGTGGAAAAAGTCTTACATTTAACAAAAAATTTCTGTGATTATTAATATCTCAGACTGGCCAGTTTTTGTTTCTCATTTGAGATTGAGATATGAGATAATAGGTTTGGCTTTTACTTAGGAGTGAGCAGAAGTCGTGGATTCTACCCACATTTTCAACCAGGGGTAGGGAAACATGAACTCTATTGAATACATTTTATAGAGACTGGCATTGTAGGACAAGTACTGGACTGGTAACCTCAAGGTTGGCAGTTGAAATCCACCAGCCTCTCTTAGAAACCCTATACAGGGTCACTATGAGATGGAACTGACTCGATGCACTTAACAACAACATAGGTCTCTAAAGAGCCTTGGTTTAAGCGCTGAGCTACTAACCACAAGGTTGGCACATTCAAACCCATTGGCCACTCTGTGGAAGAAAGATGACTATTTCTGTTCCTGTGAAGATTCACAGTCTTAGAATAGTTAAGATTGTACTCTGTTCTAGACAGTCACTATGAGTAGGTCAACAGTATTTTTTTTGTTTATTTTTTACATGTTGCTGTTGTTATGTGCCGTAAAATTGGTTCCAACTCATAGTGACCCACCCTGTACAGGGTTTCCGAGGCTGTAAATCTTTATGGGAGCAGAAAGCCTCATGTTGTTGTTTTGAAGTGCCATCGAGTAGATTCCCACATATAGCAACCCTGTACAGGAGTTCCAAGGAGTAGCTGGTGAGCTTGAACCACTGACCTTGCAGTTCAAATGACTTTGCAGTATGACACAGTAGCCCACAGTGCCACACCAGGACTCCAGAAAGCCTCATAGTGCCCTAGATATTGCAAATGGTTTATAATCCATTACACTAACCTAAGGGATGACAGTTCAAACCCATCCTGTGGTACTGTGGATGAAAATCCTAACTGGCAATCTACTTCTGTTAATATTATATTCAAGAAAGTCCTATGAAGCAGTTCTACCCTGTAACAATGAAATCACCATGAGTCTGAATGAAGTTGAAGGCCAAGACTTTTTTTTTTTTTTTAATTAGAAACAAACAGCTAGTTTTAAGCCACATAATGTATTTGTTCAATGTACCAGTTACATTTCAAAGTGAGGGAACCCAAGAATCATGGAACTGGTTCTTGGATATTTCTTTTATAAATTATGCACATGATGGTTCATCTCATAATCATGTGGATAGCTAGTGTTCATCATAATGATACCTCAATTAAAACAAAGACAATTAGATTCTATTAGATGTAACAATAGTTTGTCATCTATAAATCAGAATCTAGCCATTAAGAAAACTTAATACTGGTCTTCTGAAAGCATTCAGGATTTGACTTCTTACCTTCACTAAAATGTCTTTGGCTTCCTTCTCAAGCCATCGTGGGTAGAAGGGATTGTCCATTCGGATGGAGTGGAAGAGCTCTTCTTCATCTTGTCCATGGAAAGGTGACTGACCAATGAGCATTTCATACAGGAGAACACCAAAGGACCACCAGTCAACAGAATGGTTGTATTTCTGACCCAGCAAGATCTGTGTGACCAAAGGCAGAGATGTCATTTGTAAAAACGAGGTTGGTGAGTGAAAACTCTTCATGGATTTCTCAACACCACTCAGTAAAGAAGAGGTGATGTCAACGAAGACAACACTTGGAACTGTGTCTTTTGACAAGCTAAACAGTGTAAAGAAATAAGTGGACAATGTCAAAATTGAGTAACCATTTTCGAGGTTCAATTTCTACCTCACCACTGAACTATGCTGTTAGCCCTCATTTCCCCATTTTCAATGTGAGGATTGGATTAGCAGGGATTGGAACTCAGAAATGTGGTATGTATCTAATTTCTCTAGCGTCTCTCCTGTGACCATCTAAACAAACAACAAAATAAAAATGGCCGTGGAATGGATTCGGACTCATGGTGACCTCATGGGTATCCTAGCAGAACGTTGCTTCATAGGGTTTTCAATGACTACTTTTTTTTCAGGACACTGCCAGGCTTTTCTTCTGAGGTGCCTCTGGGTTGAATTGAGTCTCTAACTTTTGGGTTAGCAGCCGAGCACGCTAATCATTTTTACTACCCAGGGACTCCATTTACATCAAACCCATGTGTTATATTGACTTCTACTGTTCCGAATCTTGGCATGTTGTTTCTATGTGTAATCAAGAACCCAAAGAGTCCATCTGACCATGTCCCTTCCTTAAAGCCTAAACTATGCATGATTGTTTGGATTAGGAGTCACATCTGCAGTCACCATAAGAAGTCAGGAGGAAGAAGAAACAAAACATAGTGAATTTGCTGAGAGAGTAACTGGGAAAACAAACTTCATTTGTGCAAATTCAGGAATAGATAATCTGCAATGATTCCCAGTATAAAATGTTGTTCATTAACCTTAACTCTAAGGAGCTCTGGTAGTGTATTGGTTATGAGTCGGTCTGCTAACTACAAGGTCAGCAGTTTGAAACTACCAGCTGTTCTGCAGGGGAAATACGAGGCTTTCTGTTCCTGTAAAGATTTACAGCCTCGGAAACCCTGTGCAAGGTCACTATGAGTCAGAACCAACTCCATGGCACATAACCACTACCAACCTTAACTCTGGGATACTGTATAGCACTATAGGATAAGCACTGGATCCCAAGATGGGCTTGACTATAATATAAGGTTGGTGGTTCCAACTCCCCAGTTGCTCCTTGGAAACCCTATGCAGGGTTACTCTGAATGGGAACTGAATCAACGGCACTTAACAACAACAACCTTAACTCAATTATTACAGTTCATTTTAAATATTAGAAAACATTTGTTGTTGTTGTTGTTGTTAAGTGCGATTGAGTTTGTTCTGACTCCTAGAGACCCTGTGTAGGGTTTCCAAGGAGCAGCTGTTGAGCTTGAACTGCCAACCTTGCAGTCCAGTGTATGAACCCACAGTGCCACACCAGTCATCGAATCGCTACATAAGCTTGATAGCAGTGTTCTGTGGAGGTCTAGACAGTCTGGGTGTGGATTTAAAGTTTGGAATCCCTCTCAACTTTTAAAAAAAGTTTTGAACTTTTTGCCAAGCCACATTCCTGTGCTCATCACTCCAACAAACCATGCTGTGACCTTGTCTCAAATAGCACATAGTAGGTACAGTGCACAATAACAGTTTGATAAATGGAGAAGAGAAAAAAAGATCCTTGACAATTTAAGACTACTGGCCGCTCTCAGGATAGGCTGAGATGGTTACTTTATTATCCCAAACAAAACAGAGGAGAGACAATTTACAATGCAGACTGGACACACTGCAGTTTGTTTTAAGTTTAGATCAGCGCACGCATGTGAGTACACACACACACACACAAACACACAGAAATCACTCTACTGTTATTGCTATTGGTGGTTGTGATGGCTGTGGGCCATGGAGTCGATTCCGACTCAGAGTGACCCAGCATAGGGTTTCCGAGGCTGTAAATCTTTACGAGAGCAGAACGCCTCATCTTTCTCCTGCGGAACTGCTGGTAGTTTCGAACTGCTGACCATGAGGTTAGCAGCCTGACTTGTAACCACTGCTGGATGCCATTAACTCGATTTCCGACTCACAGCGACCCCACTGAACACGGCAGAACTTCCTCAGAGGGTTTTTCTTGGTTGTAATCTTTATGGGAGCAG